TTTAGTTTTGTTTACTCTTCAACTCCTACACTCTTTTTGTGGTATTGCTGCTTCAAGCCACTAAAGGACTTGACAGAGAGAAGATGAAAATAAACAGAAAAGATATAGTTGGTAAGGACAAGGTAATTGTGTGGTAATACATAAAAACAATGCCTGAGGTAAAGGATTCTAATTATGGACTCACATAAACACAACTATACTTAAAAATATCTAGACATCATAACAGATAGTACCTTTGGAAGCACATCATTAATAAGTTAACAGCCTTATACTGGCAAACTTTTCCATCTGACAGTAAAATTAGAAATACTAAATCATCAAACCTCATCAAATATTACTGTATATGAGTGTGTTGCACTCAATTATACTGTGATTGTAGAGAGCACAGAACAGTCTCCCAATATTACTGGCATTACTCACATTAATACTATAAAATAGAATAACACAGTAAGAGCAGAGGAAGGGCGTTTCATTAAAGAAATAGAATTGCTGTTGTTGGTCATTGGTTCTATCTTTTGGTTGTTCGTGTGCTATCGGGGGAGCAGGCTGCTTGAAATCCCACTTGACTAGCTTACACCTGAAATAATCACACAGAAACTGCATTAGTTAAAACACTGCTTGACCATTAGCTCTAGTGTCCTATTGGCTAACTCTCACATCTTGACTTAACCCATTTCTATTAATCTGTGTTCACCACGAGGTCATGGTTTACCAGGAATGATTCAGCATGTCTGACCTGGCATCTCCATGGCAGAAATGTAACGGAATATAAGAAATAAGCAAGTTTTAAATTTCCACTCCACATGCCACCACAATACCAACCTTCCTCTTTAATGGAGTAATAAAAGAATATAATCTGTTAGTGGTATTTCAATGGTGTTTTAATAAATAAATACTATCTGAAGAAATGAGAGTAAAACAGTCCCACTGCTCAGCCTTACAGACCATGTTATGGTAACACACACTGTTAATCCCAGTAGCCATAAAAACAGAGTGGTGCATGACTTTAATCATGGTGGTGCAAGTCTCTAATCCCAGAAATAGAGAGGTTTATAATACAGGAAGAAACAGCTCTAAACACAGTCTCATTCTGAGTTTCTGGAAGGCAGAATTACCATTTCAGACTGAGGTCAGAGTAAGAGCCGGTAGCTGGCTGTTTTGCTTTTCAGATCTTCAGGTTGAACCTTAATTTCTGACCCTGAGTTTTTATTAATCGTGTTTTAGTAATCAAAATATATTAAAAATAGTAAATTAACATATTAGAATATAATTCTGTTTATTTAAAACTCAGAAGACTTTCTTTAAAGTGGAGATATGAAGGTGGTTCACACAGGCATTTCTAGTATTCTATTGTTTTCTATCTGCTATATTATGCAATAGCCTGGAAAATAAAACGATTTTCAAAAAATATTAATGGGAATTTCTTATTTTAAAACTAATAAAATAAATTAAATCAACTTGACATGTTTTAAGTCATCTACAAGCCAATTCTCATCATTGTCTGAAGTAGAATTTATAATATCGGGTCACATTACAAATATCTAAACTTGGACAATAAAAGAAGGCATATTAAGTCAATGTGGATAATTTTTAAAAATCTTTCAAAAGAAACTGAATAAAACATATAAAGAGAAAAAACAAATCAAATTACAAAGTTCATATGTAATAATAAATTCATAAATATGATCAACTTATTTCTAGGTCAATATGAAAAAAAATAAGGATGAAGAGTATAAAATCCATCAAATAAGTACCTACTAAAAATCATATTTTATTTTATAGTGACATTATTGATGATATAATGTGTTATGCTTTAATAATTTAAATTATAAAGTCATAAGCTAAATTAAAAATTAATTTAAAATTTTTGAGCTTACTAAAATACTATTCCTTTTATAACTGTAAATTATTCATATTACATTTTGTAGCTAGTGTAAAATATAATAAGCTTGTATTTGCGATAGAGTCAAGTACTATATTCAAACATACTATATTCACTAGAGACACTTGACAATAACCATGAGAATATATAATACAAGATAAATCATTGTGTTTGATCTTGTGGACCAACTTGCTTTCCGTTCTGCAGAAACTTATCACCTAAAATCCACACTTTGCTGGCCACTTTGAAATAAAGGTATTGGATGAAAAATCTCTTACTTTGATTAACTTTATTCCTGCTATTTTTGAACAGTGAAGTCCTTCTAATGGCAGAAATGGTCAAACACTTGGGAAATAAAGTAATCAAAAGAGGAAGGATGCCTTTTAGCTCACATCTGGAAAGAAAACAGGGCATCACAGTTAAGAATGAATGCTGACTGAAAGGAGTGGTTCATCACACTGTCCTCAGACATCCAGCTGAGAGTGATACACATTCATACTTTAACTCTTGTCTAGAACTCAAGCTCATAAGTCTGTGCCAAACTTTCTTTTTAGCTGAACTTTTCTGAAAAGATTTTGGCCTGGCAGACACACTCACAGCTATATTCCCATCTCCAGACTAATCCTAGTCAAGATGATTAATATAAAACCCATGGTTTGAATTTATCAGTCAAAAATTAGTAGGAAAGAGAGGCAGTTGTAGAGAAAGATAAGGCAGTTTCTTATGGGAGTGTTCATCAAGTCAATATATATGAGTGGACCTTGATTCTCTGGCAATTCTTTGATTTATTATCTACCTATACAATTTCCCATATAAAATTCCCTAGAGATAATTAAAAATTGCCACCTAAAATCTACTCTTTGTAGTTTGTTACAAAACTATTTGCCTATATACATAAGACTATACATATGTCTAGATGTAGATTTAAATAGACTGAGGACTTCAGGAGGTGTAATAATATTGAAAATAAGCAATGTTTTAATAATTGACATCTAAGATTAAAGCAAACACAATGAAAATATTAATAAACTTGGTGGAACCAGTGAAATACTGTACCATTATTTGTCTATACAAATAATTAGAAAAGAAGAGATGGAAAGTAGCCCAAAAATAAATATAGTGCAGGGTGTTGCATTATACACTAGCTAAACAATGGCTATACATACTGCTATGGCACACTGCTAGAGAAAGAAATTTTAAATAGATTGTTCAATTTACAATAGTTAATGGAGTGATGATAAAAATAGAAAATAAAAAATAAAAATCAGTTCCAAAAGTACAATTTATAAATAATTTGAAGAAAGAACTTATTTAAATTAAGGCAGTTAAACACAGAAGTGTATGCCACATAATAATTCAAAGTTAATTCATTACTAATTAACCAACAACTATACAAAGTTTTAGCTGAAATTACATTTGGATGTCTATCTCAACATTTTAGCTGTGTACAGATCCATTTCCGTGATTGAGTGCCTGCTTTTCATGCATAAGAACTGGGATTGGATCATCATCATGGCAAAGGAAAGATGGAATGAAGGATGGGAAGGACGAAGTGGGGACGAAGGGAGATAAGGCAATAAACAAATTTTTTAAATAACAAGCTCAGGGTTTTTCTGAAATAAAGTTTTGTGGCAAATCACCTAAAGGAAGTGTGTATTTAAGCAAGCATTATATTTTTATGTAGTGTATATGTTATATACAAACACAAAGCAACAGAAAAAATAGGAGAACTCTTGACAATAAATGTAGGAGGCAGAGTATTAACATACTTGTTACACAAGGAGGGCAGAAAAACAATGTGCTATGGAAAATATGGAGCATATCAAATGCCAGATTCTTATCTTCAAAAATATATGAAAACCATATATTCTCTTATGTGTTTAATAAAAGCCTCTGAAAATTTCAGTTTTTAAATGTTTAGAAATGTAAATATGTACTATGTAGTCAGGTTTTAAATTGGAAGATTGCTTAAAATGAGGACAATTAAAAACATTACAAAATTTTTATAACATAACATTTAAATAAATTATCATGTCTGTAAGAATGACTCTGAAGTTATTAAAATATCACTTTCTTATAATATTTACTCAACAAATAGAATGCTCAAAACACATGAGTGGTGAAAATCAGTGTCGCTTTTGTAGGCTAAAATATCATTTAATATCATCATTAATTACATTCTGGAAGGAGTTTAACAAAATTTCAATTGGTTATAGAACTATGAGTCATTGAACTTACTTTGTATTTTCCACTTTCTTTAATAATTATACAGCAACTGCATTTGCTAGCAACATGAACCACATTGCAATCAACAGTTTGAGGGTACTCATTTTACACGGTGGAAGCAGATGTTATAATAGTTAGAAAAACACCAAGATGTAACTGTATTTTCAGTTTAAAGAAGCCCATGAGGGCATAATACTTTTTATTAACTAAGACTAACATTATTCACGAGAAATGATTGAACATCTCAAATTATTTAGAATTCAAATGATAGTTGCGTAGCAATAGTTAAGATAAAATTTCATGTTTATGCCAAAATATAGATTATATATTTAATCAGTGTAAAATAGGTGTAGCTTTAGTCAGAACTGAATATATCTATATATGCAATTTTTTCTTCTCTGTACACCTTACTCAATTTTCCAAAAAAAATAATGGGAAATCACCAGGAAATATCTATTTTTTATAAGGGTATTAAGATGATAATAATGGTCTAGGACTTCAAGGAAGTAAACACCAAGATAAAAATTCAGAACATAGAATTTACAATGATAAAATTGGTTATTACAGTCATGTTTTGCAAAAACAAATTTCTATAGAAATAAATGACTCTAAGAGTCTGAGGAAGAGTCTTTATTTCATTAATTTCCCAAGAGGTTTAACACAGTATTTAAGGAAGAAATGTATTGGTTTGTGAAATAGAATTTTCATGTTATTGTGAACTTCTTTAAGGTAGATACTGGGAAACTGATAATATTGGTCAAACCCTCTTCTTCTAATTTCTATATTTCCATTCAAGTGTGAATTCAGTTTTTAGTGTAATTTTTTTACATCTAATATTGTATAAATTATTGTTACTTGTTCTTTCTTATGTAAATATTTTTTGAATAAACAGGTAAACAAATTATGAATGCTGGATGGAACAGGTAATTGAAACTTCAAATATCACAGCTTCAATTTGTCAGAAAAAAAATCTTGCCTCATATGAATCTCTATGTTCCTTTCCAGAGTAGATTTGAGAATAACAGTGTGATGCTTTCTCCAGACTTTTTTCAGAGATCAGCTTCAAAAGGTAATTTTATGACATGATCAAGGACAAAATAAAAAATAAGTGGGTAATATCACAGGTTAAAACTGAAGTATTGCTACAACAAGATATTGCATTACTATCAAAGAATGAGAATGATGAGAATGTAACAAATATTTACTTTGGATGTCTGCTTATAAATATATTTATATTTGATGCAAACTATAAATTGTGCCTATGAAACAATACGCGTATTTCCTTCAGTTAGGAAAGTAAAAAATTTAAGAAACATTCCAAAAAATAAGAGTTAACACTTGCAAAAGGCTTCAAGTTGGTTGATTGAGCCAAGAGACTCCAAATATACAGTTGGCTGCTCAAAGCGAAATCAATAAACACTTTTCTTTGTAGAGGGGATCTTACAGAATAGAGCACAAATGTGAAAAAAGACTATAACATTGATGACCTGTTAAGACATATTGGTTGACTTTTATATTAGAAAGCAAAAACAAAGTACAAGAATGGATGACCCCACTCACTGAAGGCCTCTTCGTTACAATTTTACCTTCAGTATTCTTTCATGGATTGGTAAAAATGTTTTTTGAACTGGTTTCAAGGCGGGAATCCATTGATTTGCTTGGAGACTAGCTTTCAATACAGTGTCTCCAGGCTGTCTGGCATGCCAGTCACCTTCAGGCAGTGTTTTAAATGAAGGGTTGGTAAGATGCCTCTAAATTTATTGTAGAGTTTCATATATTGATTAAGAATTATACTGAATAATGAAATATGGAAAATGCCCATCGGGTCATATTTTCATGATGTGTTGATAATGAGTCTCTCAAAACAACATCATAAAAGCACCACGAGTCTTTGCAAAGTACCTTTTGCAGAAAAATCTCTAAGCTACTTAAGAGTAGCTCGAAGAAAACATTTGCCCCTCCTGTGTGTATGGAAACTATGCAGTAATTGTTCTTAGTCCTAGAACTAATCAGCTGCTTGACTGGTTTACAAATCTCTGGTGAAAATGACGATCTCTGGTTTCTAGTCTCCTGAGGACACATACAGGAGCACTACTAACCTTTCCACATCCCAGGACTTGCCATGTACATAAAACACGTTTAAATCATGCAAAGTCATCATTTGTTGTTTTGGTTTAATGTATTCTAATTTAACTTTTTTGCTTCATTCATTTTCAGTTTAATTACTTTCCATTTTCTTTTATTATTTTTCTTTCTTCATGATTTTTTTATTATTAAAAATTTTCACCTCCTCCCCTCCTCCCACTTCCCTCCCGCTCCTCCCTCTCCTCCCTTTCCCTCTCTTGGGAATTTTAGTATAATTACAGCATTTTTCTCTTCCCTTTCCTACCTCCAAATTCTCCTATATACCCCTCCTTTTTCTTTTTAATTTTTTAAAAATTTTATTGAGCTAACTTTTTTTTTTTCATTTTACACATTGACCACAGTTTTCCCTCTCTCCACTTTACCCCCCCTTCCTGCCTTCCAACCACTCCTCTTCCCTCTCCACTTAGAAAGAGGCAGGCCTCCTGTGGGCTTGAACAAATCATGACACATCAAGCTGAGGCAGGACCAAAGCTGGGTGAAGTAATCCAGCATGGGGAACAGGTCCCCAAATTTAGTTAAAACCAGGGACAAGTCCTGATCTCACTGCTAAGAGCCTTACAAACAGACCAAGCTACACAACTGTCACACACATGCAGAGGGCCTAGGTCATTCCCATGCAGGCTCCTGAATTGTTGTTTAAGAGTCCATGAGCTCCCACAAGCTCAGGTCAGCTGTCTCTTTGGGTTTCCCCATCATGATCTTGACCACCCTTGCATATTTAATCCATCCTTCCTTTCTTCAACAGGACTCCGAAGCTAGCACCTGTGCTTGGCTGTGGATCTCTGCATCTGCTCTGGCAGTTACTGGACAAAAGCTCTCCTGTGACAATCTGATTTCAGAAGAAGGCCAGTTCAGGCACCCTCCCCAGTATTGCCAGGAGTCTTAGCTGGTGACATCCTTCTGGATTCCTGAGGGCTTCGCTGGCATCTGGTTTTCTGTAACCCCAAAATGCCCACCTAGCAAGATGCTTCTTCCTTAACTCTTCCCCTCCAATCTACCCCCAACCTGTCTCCAATACCCATTCTGCCCAACAGGCTGCCTCAAGTTTCCATCTCCCATTCTCCCAACCCCCAGCTCCAGTTTTCATAGGAGATCTCTTCTATTTCTCCTTCCCAGGGAAATCCATGCATTCCTCTTTGAATCCTCCTTGTTATCTATCCTCTCTGGGACTCTGGAGTGTATATTTGTTCTCTTTAAAATTTACGACTCCTTTTTATTAATTGTAGTTTGTATTTTTAACCATGCTTCTATAATGCAGTTTGTAGAAATAAGATGATGAATGAGACACATTTTTGTCTGAAATTTGAAAAGTTTTAAAGTAAAATTCTTCAACTATAAGAATGTAAGGTTTCCAAAAAATCTTGAACATTTTCATGCAGTTGTATTTGTCTTCCACAACGATCATGACAAATGAATGCATCATGCTCCTCGGGTTCATGAAACAGCATGAAAAGAACAAAAAAAAAAGACAAATGCTTTCAGAAGCCAGGACTACTACATTTACATGAATTGAGAGAATAATAAAATAAGAATAGAAAAGTTGCCTATCCTCAGATTTCTTTTTAAAATTTTCATTCCAGAAAAAAAGATCTATACTGACTAGATGTGGACTAGGCATATTTGAATTTTATGGAAACAGAGTAAAGTGGTTATAGACAATATTAATGAATATTTAATGTATATACACTTACCATATATTCCTCACAATGTATACACATTTATACTACAAAACAGCGATACCAGCACATTCTCTTGTTCTATTTCTTCCAACTTTGCTTCACTACTTTGTTGGAGATATAATGCACTTTAGTATTTATTGAACTAAGTGATTATATTGGCTGTATTAGTGTAGTAGAAAGAACAATTAGAGTTCTTTAGAAAGGTACCAAATTTTCGAATAAAATAAGAAACCAGAGATGATTTTAAACACAATGTTCACATTATTTGATCAACAGAAGCTTAAAACTAAATTCATGTCTAATACAATAGGAAAGAGTTCAGGATGCTACAGGACAGTTTTAAGAGCATGTTGGTCTTTGCTTGATGCCCTTTAATCTTGAGCTACTACCACTTTGACAATAAAGCTAATATACACTGTGCAAATGAAGTGTTAGCACAGCAAAGTATATTGAGTTGCCAGAGACCTGCTTGGTAGATATCCAGTCATGTCCAGGAAAGACATAATAATGGAACAGTTTTATAGTTACACTCTTTAAAATATGACTTATGATATGATGCTACTGTGATATTATAGACACTCAGACTAGTGTAGAAAAATGTTCATGAGAAGTTCAATAGATCTGATCAGACATATTAGCAATTACAGTATTAATTATGCCTATCTGCTTTTGTTTGTTTATTTTATTTTAAAAGTACTGTAGTGAATTTTCCCCAGGAAAGTAGTAGTTAATAAAAAAAAACCATTATAATTCTATTGCTTTAGATAAATTTTAATGTTAGTATACTAGAAGGTACACAGACTAAAAAATTGCACAACACAAAATATTTTGGGTTTTACATGTTTGTAAATATGAGGGCCTGCTAGTTGGGGTTTCTGTACTGCCCAGTTCCCACAGGTAAGCCCTAAAGAAAATCACACATAGATTCTATATTAATGATAAAATGATTGGCCCATTAGTTCAGGCCCATTAGCTCAGCTTTATTAGCTCTTGTAGCTTATATTAACCCACTGTTCTTATCTATGTTAGTCACATGGCTCAGTACCTTTTTCAGTTGGGCAGGTCACATCCTGCTTCTTTGATGATCTGGGAAGGACTGCCAAAGGAGCTTCCTGCTTCTCAGAATTCTCCTATTCTCTTTGCCCCACCTCTACTTCCTGTCTGTTTTTTCTGCCTATACTTCCTGCCTGGCTACCAGCCAATCAGCATTTATTTAAAACATTGTTGACAGAATATAGACAATTTTTCTCCCACCAATTTTTTTCTTGTCACATTGCTAAATGAATGCCCTTGAACATACCAGACATATCAGTTTCAATTAATATAAAAGCACAATTCTTAAAATAGAATTCCCATCATCAATTTTCATGTAACTCATTTACCTTACTAAGAGGTACAGATACCCCTTATGTACCTAGTTTCATCTTTATAGTAATTGACAATATTTTCTTTATATAACAGGCATCAATAAATTGTCTCAATTTTAGCTAAGAAAACAATTTTCAAATATAGTATCAAAGCTATTCCTTCTTTTTTTATTTTTTATTTTTGTTTGTTTTCTCTGCATGTATATATACCTACCACTAACATTTCTGGTGTCTGTGGAATCCAGAAAGGTTGCAATGTTTGATGAAGCTGAAGTTACAGGCAGTTATGAGCTACCAAATGGATGCTGGGAACCAACCCACATCCTCTGGAAGCACAACAATTACTTTTCACCACCAAGATATCTCTCCAGCCCTTGTATCTTCCTTTAGTTAATGCTCCTGATATATATTTTTCCTTTATGAAACAATGAAGTATTTCCCTGAGTAACAATTAAAATTTCATAAAGGTGTCCACTTACTCTTTCCATGTTACTCTTATTTTAAATTGTCTTGCTTTTAGTGTTCTTAATTTGTTTTTGAATAACAAAATGTACTAAGCTAAAATAAGAATATTCATATTTGTGAATAGACTTTTCACACATTATGTAAGTCTGTATCAATGCTGCATACAAAGGGAGTAGAAGGGCAAGTTCATTGTCATTGTAAGTAGAAACCAAACTCAACTGAGTTTTGAGAGCTTGAACAAGATACTTATATCCCAAAATGATATTTTCTCATCTCTATGTCAAAGAGAAATAATAATAATACCTGCTTTCAAAAAGCTGTAGATGCATCAACCTGGTAAATACACACAAAACTCTTAGAAAATAATCAGACAATATCTGGGGAACTATGCAGGGGCTATCTTCACAATAGTTGACTGCATTGGAATAAAAGTAGAGCATATGTTAAAGAATATTTGCTAATATCATCTGATTATCTATTTAAGTAACATTTAGCTATTTAAAAGACTGCATCAAAATCTATACAAATTTAATTTTCATTTGTGTCATTAGTGCTCCCTAGGAAGCTTTCTTCCAACTGTCTTTTTAAACGATTTACCTTAATATGTGTCCGTAATTTTTGCCCATCTTTTCAACACTCCCATAATTTTTATGTCCTAGGCCCAGCAAGTGGCTGACGCTGACTCTCACACAGTTGAGTAAATCAAGGACAGCATCCAGAACTCCCACCCCTCACCCTGGACAACAGATTTGACAAGATTAACACCCCAATCCCTCTATTTCTGTTGCTTCCTTTACCAATATTTACAGATAATTATATTAGATTTTTTGTTCCTCCACCACCCACCTTCTCAGAGACTGCATGAGTAGTCAGCAGGTCTGTATTAGAATAATTCTTCTTAGAATCCTTTGTAAAACCCTCATCCATCATATCTAGAGGCAGGCCATCTTCATTTCTTTGTCTATGCAGGTAAATAGGATCAGCATGTGTCCAAAATCCAATCATACAATCATCTTTGATATTTCCATTTCTGGAGTTGCAATATAAAGCCATGATTTTTTAATACTTTAGTTAAAAATATGCATAATTTCCATAAGTTCATAGTGATATGGTAATCATCAATATCCCAATCCTTAAAATACTGCTAGAACATTCTATCAACCAAGGAATATCAATTTTATCTTTGAAGTATTAAAAGGAATACACCAATATTTGAAAAGAAAAATAAATAAACTCTTTTGCCAGTGGTTTACTAAGTCACTCTCTGCTTCTTCATGAGAATCAAGTGATGAATATTCAAAATATTTTTTAGCAAAATGCCATGCACAGGTTTTATGCACACCTTTTAGACAGAATTTGATTATCGAGGCACGTAAAAACTAACTTTCTTCTTATCAGACTGCTCATGATATAATCTCCAACATCACCACTACCACCAACAACAAAAATCAAACTATGATGAGTAAACTTGATTGAATAAAACCTAACAATATCTTCAGGAGGCCTATAGAAACAGTCACCTATAATCCAGAAAAAAAAAAAAACACAACCCAGTGTTTCTGGTGATCACTCATTTTCTTTATCTACCACTGTCAAAAGTGGGATGGGATAAAGAAAATTTTTCATACCAGATTCATGTTCTTTCACCTATCTGAGCAAAAGATCTTTGATATCAGAGTTATCTGAAATAATATGAAGCATTGTTTCATACATCAATATGAGTGAGTCAGATTCTACAGTTCCATTATATTGATTGCTCAAAGAATAAAACACTAATGGTTTATTTAAAAAGATTGGTTTATTAAATTTGCATTTTGACACAACAGATTTATAATAACAGTTCAATCAGAAAGTGTGTAACTGAATTATAGTTTCTAACAGTGAGGGCCAAGTTGTAGAAGGCGATCTTCAGGTCTTCTGTAGAATAGAAGTAAGTACCAGTTGCTCAGAAGATGGCTCACAATTCTCTTCTCATACAGAAATTATGATTGACTACCTACTTTATTGGAACAAACTCCGGAAAAAAATATGTTAACCTTTTAGGACTATAAATCTTATAAGATAGTAAATTTATCTGAAAAGGAGCAAAAAAGTTAACATAAAGAATAAAATGTAGAAGTAAATACTGAGGGCAAAATATATGTCAAGAGGAATTGAAAGTGATCTTCGCATATACCAAAATTACTGATTCTAAAAATCAAGTCTTGTTGATAAAAGTACTTTCAGTCTTTAGTCTACTCTTACTCATATTCTCAAGCTAAAAATATGCTTTGATTGGAATCATTGTTACCATAATCACCTGTGCTAATAAGTAGATGACTGCATACTGGAAAATTTGCAAGGAGTTGGTTAAGTCAAGGATACCATGGAAAGACATCACAATATCTACATCTTAATTATGGCTCACAAGAAATACCTCAGAATAATAAACAGTTTAGGGTGAGAGACACATGGGGGTCAGCATAATGAAACTGTAAAAAGCATAAAGAGTTAGTTTATGACACACACAAAAGCATAGCCTGTTAGGATATACAGCATACTTCTCTGTGACAGGAGATAAAGGAAGGAAGATAACACAGTGTCAGCTGTCAGTCTACCTGACAGAGAACTTTGTATTATTATGCATAAACTAAATATTTATGAATACATACTATATTCTGTTTGCTGATCTACATTCTTCATATTTAGAATACGCAACTCTTATAGTAATAAAAACATTAAGAGAATTTTAATACTTAGTTCTTTTCCAATTCTGTTCAATTTGATCTCTTCTATTTTTATTAATTAAATATATTCATTTATTTTACATCCCAACTACAGTTTCCCCTCTTTCCTATCCTTCCAGCCCTTCCCCCATCTCCCTCTCCAATCCCCAAACCATTACAACTGTTTTTTTGTTCAGAAAGGCCAGGTCTTCTATGTGTGTCAACAAAACAAGGTATGTCAAATTGAGGCAGGACTTCTTTTAAAGCTGAACAAGACAATTCAGTATTTGGGAGAAAGAGGTTCCTGGAAACCAGTCAGAGTTAGGGACAGTACTGCTTCCAACACTAGGAGTTCCACACATAGATCAAGCTACACAACTGTCACACATATGTAAAGAGCCTAGGTCTG